ATTTCAATTTGAACAAAATCCCTGACATCCAATACAACAAGTGATCGATTTGGCGTGAAATAACCTCTGTATAATTAGCGACGGTGGCGTCATCGATGATTCGGCGACATTTTCACCTAGGCGACATTATAAAATGCGAAAAGCTAAACATTCTTCTTATTCGCTATTTTTTTTTACCTTTATTAATATATGAAATATGCAGTAAAGTGGTTTTCTCATCCTCAATATCGAAGACTGTTTTCACTCCATAAACATGAAAATTAGCCAATAATAAAATATCTCCAATATTTTTGAATACTGTACGTCTGTCAGACCAAAACGATGATCGTCAATTGGCTGGCGTTCCTTGTCGGCGAAGATGAGAGAAAAGCTCTCCGACACTGTCAATGTTAACAACTTCTTGAGTGACAGCTTATGTATGTTCGCGGCAGACGGGACCAGCCGTTTGAAATAAGGAAGGATTTTACGTTAAAGTAGCAAAGACGTTTAAAAATTACTGTTTTAAAAATAGCGGATGAAAGTAAAAGCAGGGATACGCCATCAAAGAGATGCTCGAGACATTCGAGATCAAAGGGGCCCGCCCCTCCAGTTCTTGGAAGTCTTTCTTGACCGTCACACGCCGATTTTACGGCAAACTTCGGTGCCAATGACGTTCAACTCTGACCTGTACCGAATTTTCTTTTCTACAGGGTGATTCGGGGAATTGGGCCAGCCTATAACAAAATGCAGTTGTACTTCTTTTTTTCAATGGAACACTACGATCTCTTTTGCACAAATTTATTCCTCGTGTCATTCCGTGTATAAAAGGTATAAAATAATGTCATTGAAAAATAATAATTCACAAGATATTTCACTTTTTATACAGAGTTCCCTAAAATTATAATACAAATAAAATTGAGGTTTCGTTTTAGAGAAAATCGTATTTAAAAATTAAGTAGAAACGGAATGTCGTGAACAGACGCGCTAGCAAAGCCCTATTCAATTGCACGCATATCTAGCAGATCTTCAAATTCGATTATCTCGAAAACCAAGCTTTAAATGAAAAAACGTCATTCTTTTTTTCGACTTATTTTGGCAGGTAGAATCACCTCCTGCCCGGTTCTACCGAGTTTTGGGTATACCCTATAGAATTATTATACTATACATATTAGGATAACTCATCACAACAGGTAAAAGTTACTTAACCTTGTTAAGGACAACTATTCTAAGTAATCCCAAAGAAGTTTTAGCCGTCGCTCACTTTTTATTAAAAAGTTATTAACAAATAAGTTTAGTATCGTACTGTAGTTGCATTGATAAGTAAAATGACCGATGTGCTTGACGTTTGTTGTCAAAGTCACCCTCCTCAGTGACTTCCAGAAATTTTCAGTTATCAAATGTTTATTGAAAGGTTATTAAGAAAATATTGATACCTTTTTCTTGAACTATCTGCAACCAACTCTGAATGACTTGTTTTTCTTGAACTATGTCTAACCAACTCTAAAGCATTATACTGATCAGAGTTGGTTAGAGTAATTAGTTGGAATAACTGGTATACGTTTAAATTTTTGTTGTTAATAACTTTTTAATAAAAAGCGAGCGACGGCTAAAACTTCTTCGAGGATTACTTAGAAGAGTGTCCTTGGTAACATATGTCAAGGTCAAGGACATTGGAGCTACATCCCCTTAACGTAACTTTTAACGCACAACATTATTGTATTTACTGATGAATATACCTTTTCTAACATGGGAATGTTTAGTCGGTATAATGAGCATATCTACTTCACAGAAACTCCAAATTTTAGAAGAAGTATAAACATATCAGTTAATCCGCTAGCTGAATTTTTCTACTACAGTAGACGTCTACCCTAGTAGCATTTACGATTGGCCAACGGTATCCAACAATTAGAAGTTAGTTGGGATATAGTTAGTGTTTTTGCCTACAAATTCCCAAAATAGGGTGAAAAAGTTATGACAATTTGCCAACGAATATCCGATGTTGAGCCTACAATTATTATAGTTGGTTAATTAATAAGAAATTTACGATGATAATGCAACATTGGCCAACCCAAAGTTTGCCAACATTTAAATATCGCCTTAAAGACGCCAGAAACGTTGCTGCAACCAAAAACTCGTTATTATATTTCAAATTCATGTTTTTGTTTTCTCATTTATGAATATACTCACAATTTGTTACTGTCGCGAAATACGTTTGACATTTGACATTTTGTGAAAATAGAGTCAGGGGACAGAAGATTGGAAACAACTTATAATAATTATTTGTAATAATTAGCTACATGTATAAATTATATCAAATAAATTGTAAAGGTAACTTTGCTGGTAAAACACTTGTTTCCCTGTTTCATATACATATACAATTTATACATGTATATAATTATTATAAATATTATTTCCAGTGTTATATTCCTTCAAATATTTGTAAAGGATTTTATAGAAGTGTAGTATAGACAACTGTCTTCCTATTGTTTGTTTATTGTAGATACTTAATAATTGGCCGTACAGAAAGAAACCTCCAGTTGGCCCTTCGTAGTATAGTGACGTGGGCCCTACGTTGGGTATGATTGTTGACCCAATTGCAAGAAAGGGTGACAATTCTAACTGTTGGCCAACCAATAGTGCATCAAAGGCTCATTAAAATGTCAACAGTAACTGCTACTAGGGAATTCGTTATATATCGTGAACAAACATGATGTTTATAAAAAAAAAATGAAAAAATATTTTAAAACACGTTTTAAATCGTTTCAAAAGTACTCGTACTGGATTTCATGAAAAAACAAATTTTGTACAAAAAATCAGAAATATGCAATGAGCGGATTAAAATGGAGCATTAATGCGTAGTGCGTACCTAATTCTTAATACGTGCCTTGCCGATCCGTACATTTTCCCCAGTAACACTTTAAATGGTGAGCGATATCGTACTTTTTGGATGTCACATTTGCTCAACCTTCTGGATGATGTTCAGATAAAATTGCGTCATAATTTATTAATTTGTTTGCAAATGTTTATTTTGGAAGTAATTGTTTTGAAAATTTCTTCCTACCGATATATGAACAACTAAAAACGATAGAAAATTTATCTAAACCTTTTTACGATATTTTCTATAGTTTAAGAATTTCAAGCGAATAAGTAAAAAGAATGATTCAGATAGAAAAGATAGTTTCTCCCTTAAAATCTAAAATTATAACCAACCAAGTACGGCGAAATTCTTAGGTTTGTCCCATAAACAATTGCGCAAAATTTCAGAAAAATTTGCGTGTATCATTTCGGCAACATCTCTTGTCAGTAGGTATCCAATATTTCGATGCCTTTCGAGACTTCCCACTGACAAGAAACACTATTCAATCGATGACAAAATCGCACAGATTTTTACATATAGCTCGAAAATACATATATGTCACTAACGGTTCGACAATTTAAATTAAAAATGCTCTGGTTTACCTTTCAGAGGTCAAACAAGCGTCTATAAAAAATGCGTAAACAGTGAGTGATGTGAAAAGAGAAGGGTAAAAAGAGAAGAAAAGAAAGAGCAAAGATAAGGAAAAGAGAGTGAAAAGACAGTTTATTGAAAATATGTAAAATAATGTAAGTATTACCATTATTACATAACACTAAATAATAATAATCTGATCGACAAAATTATCACAAGCATAATGGATAGTTATCTTCGGATATCACTTTTATTATTTGTTATTTAACAAAATAAGGGCATTTCAATTAATTGTTATGTAATAAAATAATATATATAAAACCAAAAAGATGGTTTTTTCACTCTCTTTTCCTTACTTCCACAAAAAAACTCACAGTCACTTGATTCAATTCTAACAAAGTTGTTCTGTTTGAAATGATGTATGGTGACTGTTTTGACTGACTGTGTAAAAATCTGTGCGATTTTGTCAACAATAGAATAGCATTCTTTGTGAGTATACTTATAAAAATTTTTTATAAGTAAATTAGAATGTTTAGTTTTCAACGTCATTTCAAGGTCATACTATTAAACATAGATAGATGCATAATAATCTTGAAAAACAAAACATTAAAAAATGACACTCCTAAATAATTTTCGCCGCCATCCGATTCGTGTCTTGAAATCATTTAAATTACGTAAGAAATATTTCTCGTATGATCACAGATAGAGAAGATATTTAGGTGGCCTGTTTTAAGCGGAACACCCTGTATATCCTATCGGTCCACTGATCCCTATATGTATACTAACTGGATGATGTAGTGGAATTGGCGATCTGTTCCGAATTGAAGCCTATTGAAGCTATCTTGTATATGGGCAGTTTCTCAAGTGTGACGTCAAACAACGACGCGAAAGGTTGCAAAGCTAAGCCAAAGCAGGGATTGTCTGGCCAAAGCAAACACGGAAGAGTTAGATTGTGAATAGTTAATAATTACTTTTGAGAAACATTTTACATTGTGTATTGTATGTAATAAAATCATATGTTAAATTACGTTAATTTTTGTTTCTGTCACGTAATTTTATATTCTGTTATACATGTACTTTTATTGCTAGGAATAAAATTGTTTTCATATTTACATTTACTGTTTTTATATTGAACTGAATCGGTTCATTCTCTATTTTTTTCTTTTAGGCCATCTATACCTTTCCTTTTGTTTTTTATTGCTTCTCTTATTTCAAATAATTTCCGATTTTCATACCTGCATTCGTTCGGTAGGTACATTTCTTTTCATTATTAATTCCAATTTACCGCTGAAAAGTGTGTATCTGCCTCTATAAAAAATGGCGCTCGGGGTCTTCAATTCGGAACACGAGTATAACACGGGATACCGCATCCAATTAGGACATAGAAATCAGTGTATCGGTACTATTACTAGTCTACAAACCTTGTACGCGTGTACACACGTGTCGTCCGCGTACAAAGTCCGTTGAGTTTAAACGGGCTTTTAGTCGAATCGCTATGTTTTAATGGACGCGCGCGTCGCTCAACAAGGAGATCGGAATGGATCGTCGAGAAGAAAAATAACGTGCCACTCACCGACCACATTCACCAGGGCGAGAACTTCGCAGAGGTAGTACCTGTAAGCCCACCAATTGTGATAGCGAAGATTCTCCCATAGATAGTCGAGCAGCATCTTTTTCTTTTGTTTCTTCTCGACCTCGGAACAAAGACCTATGTCGAGGTCCATCATCAGGGCGTGAATTTTCCCACCCTCCCAGCCTTTCCAGAGCCATCTGGGTGTGTAGAAGAGGATCGCCTGGAACAGAGATCGCGTGACGTATCAGTGGAAGGAATTGGAATTAGACGACAAGAATATCGACCGATCGACTCTTCGTTCAAAGACGCATGAGTCTGTGATGAAGAAAAAGAATAAGAGAGGATTGTATTCTACGGAAATGATACCAGGTACATTGTACTCGGGCGATAGTACCGAAAATATTTATTTCGTCACTCTAAAATTTATGTAGTACGCACGGTTTCTATAGGAATATGTTTGATAAAATGAGCAGTATCCAACTTGTTTTGGTCGAAACAGCGAACTGCAGATTTTCAGCAGTAAACATGCATTTCACTTAATTTCTCTGTTATCGATAATAAGAAATGCGATTCGACGAGTCGCTGCAACGATAGTCACCTGAAATAATACAGTATGTCCGGTTTAAGTGTATACATGCTGTTATTTTTTCAATCATTCGAAATGTGCAAAAAATTTTCATTTAAAAGTTGTTTGATTTTACGGAGCAAACTAAATTGAATACTCCAATTTTTTAAAATCATTATTTACCGAAATTTTAATAATAGTGTAATTTTCTAAAATAGGACTACATATTTTTATGATTGCCATATTATTGAGCATTTCGAAACGCATTCAACGACATATTTGATGGTACTGTTTGAATAGTAATTTCTGGAATAACTGTATGGATATTCTCTCGCGAGTCACACGTTAAGGCAGGGCTACACATGTGTTTGCCCCGCGGGTGGCGCGATTCATAGTGTCACAGCTGCGATGACCCTCGCGTCGCCCGCGGGGCACCCGGGCCGAGGGGGCGGTACTAGGGGTACCACCTCCTTTCGCGGTCGGCCCACGAGAAGACAGCGTCGAGAGGCGACCCTTCGGCGCTGTAGGTAGTAGGTGGAGGGACGGCACGTGCAGCCGTCCCGAGGCGGGGGAAGCAACCGCACCCCCCCCCCCAGAGAAGAGTCCGCCCCTTAAACACCTGTAGGGGAGGGCAATGGGCAGGGCTGGTCGCGGTTATACCGAGTGATTCCGCTACCAGCCCTCTGCTCGAGGGTCACCTGGGGGCTTTTAGCGTGGTGAAATCCCGTATTGTCGTCTACGCCTCCAGCGGAAGCGGTGCACCTTTTCAAGGTTTTCCCCCCGTAAAAAAAAAAGGGCTACACATGTTCGCGGGCGCGCGAGTCACTGTGGGGTCACTGCCGCGGTGACCACTCGCGCTGCCCACGGGTAGTCCTAAACCTAATAGTTAACGAGATATTTACAAAATAATTTTTAATACGTACTTACTATCTGGAAGCTAATACAGCGATTTCAATACAATGATTATTTTGTAAATGTCAATATATGAATATGATATATACATATATATATATATATATATATATATGAAGGTCAACACATTTTTATTCAGAATTTGATATTCTATTGGTCTATGGTATAGGAGATAGGTCGTTCCGTTAAAAAAAATCAAGGTGACATTGAAATCTCTGAAATGCCTCTACCCACAAAAAAATTTGCATAAAGTGTACCGTGAAGCGTTACTCTAGGTTATCATGTTAGCTGAGACACTCTGTATATTTAATTGAAAATAGTACAACACTCAACTTTTACGAAACACTTTGTTTACTCCGTGATAATTCCGGTTATTGTTGTGATAGCACTCTGATTACTCCGTGATAGTTTTTTTTATGTCGTGATATGTGTACCAGTTACTTATTTATTATGGTTTATTTTATTATATTGTTACACGACACTGACGGTCCCGCCCTTGACGACACATAAGATAAAGACACATAAGATAAAGAATGGTTTTATACTGTATTTGGTAACGACTGGAATATATGACGACGGGCTCAGAATAATAACGGTACAGGAGACAAAATATTTAATTCGTGCAAACTGTGAGTTAACTCTTTGAAGCACGGTGGCAGGACACACATACCGCAATTTCAACTGAATATAGAAATGTTATACCTATATCAATTGTGTTATGTTTCTCTTACCTCCAACATGCTTCAGAGAGTTAAAGTTAAACTTTAATCGAAAAAACTGTAGGGTAAATTCAGGACAGACGCCACACTTGCAATATCTTCCGATTGGCAAAAGATACTTATATATGCTGCGTCTTTTTATAATCCCACTTGTGGGCCTAAAGGGTCATTCCACGCTAAATCGATCACTTTTTCCACTTACTATCAGAAATTTTGCTCAAAATTAAATATGTTGTAGTCCACGTGAAATTAGAGGAAGTTTATGTCATCATTTTACTGTTCCTGAATATGTTTAAATAATTCAGGCCGCCGAAATTTACGATGTCTGCCTATTTTCGTTAAACAGCGATGTAGGTACCTACGAATTTATATCTCCGAAAGTATTTATCGTATCGGGTTCCTTCTTCGACTATTTTAATCTAGAAGGATACCCTACTATGATAATTATTTTGTTATGTGCAGAATTGAATTTTTAATACTGCAAATCGTAAACCAATTCTTTCTTCGCGATTTTCTCCGTGAAGGGCAAGGGGTGTTTAAATTAAAAAAAAATATGGTCATATTCCTTGAAATATTATCTACAATATGAGCTCTTCAGAAAGATGGAGTAATTAGAATTAGCCTCACAAGACGTTGTAAAAGTGACTGGTGTGCCTCCGTTTCAGGTAAGCAAGCCGCGGCGGGCAGTGGAATAAGCTGTTCTTTTTGTGTGAAAATTGTAGAACTTTTAATAGACATAAGATAGAAGGACGAATCTTTTTCGAAGTTAAAGCTGAAAGATTGCAAAATAAGGAAAAATTAGAAACAAGTATCATGTGCAGGTTTTGACCTTGAAAATTCTATGGTAAAATTGACATTTTTGAAACAAGATGCGATTCTTCCGTTATAATTTATGGATGAATTTTTTCCATGACTTGTTATACATCATTTCCTATAGATTTCAACAAATTGAATTCTAATCTGACTGCAGAATATATCTACTCCTTTAGGATTTAAGAAAAATGCGATTTAAGTGAAAAGTCGACAAAAGTCATGATTATTGTGATTTACATGCTTTGATAACACTTTAGTTTAAATTTAGTTTCTTGTCAACGCATGTATGCAGACTACATTTGAATACTGCATGGAATGACTCTAAAATAACAAGTTAGTGTCTGCTCGACTGTCGCTGCACGTGTCGTACCCAGGAAGCATTAAATGAAAAACTGCGAAAAATTTCGTCAGAATTTTGTGTATGTGAGACATTAATGCCTATTACAAGCGTTGCGGTGACAGGACAAAGTTAGTAGCTATTTTATTGCTTAACATGGGTTCTTCTTAAGTACTAAACACAGTGTTTTGGATGTTATATATTTTTATTTTTTTTCTTGGAAACGTGGCATCTCTCCCACAAAATGAGGAGTGGCGCCACATAAACTGATAAGTGCTCTGGTTGGCTTATTATAATCGAACTATAATACTAAATGTAAAATATTATATTCCGTAGAATGTTGGGAAATGTACTTTACTACTAAAGAGACAATTGACCGGATTAAATGTTACATGAGAAATTAGTACATGTAATATCCTACCCCATGTGTGTGGCATCGTTTCTACGAGATTTGGGACATACTTTGCCAATTTATCGTTTTAAAAAATTTTTGTTGCTTTTGCATAAGGAAAGTTCTCAATTCTTTGTACTCCTTCGTTGTATATGAGTGAATTAGTGTAATAAAAAAAAGATCGTACTATATTATTCGGATAAAACCAAAACAGTTATTGTATATAGAGTACTCAACCAAAAAAGGCGGCATCTTTCCTGAATTTACCCTACGCTTTCAAACATTGACACACTACTATGCGTACTATCGTCAGAAATAAATTATACCATTTTTCGTTTAGACAAATACGGATCATATGAAATATCGTTTCCTATACTTATTTCATTTTTGGAAAAACAATAATTTACTTGTATCATTTTTCAATAAGCGCCTGAATTATTTTATCAAACAAAATTTGCAGTTTTGATTACAGAAACTCAGTCCGAAATGCTTAGGCGAATAACAATTTTACGAGTCCTATGGTGCATCTAGCCCGGTCGTTGTCTGTGAAATAAATTTCTCTCGATTCTTCCTTCTAACGAGGAAATGTCCCGAGGTGTAACGCTGACTTTTGCACGAGCCTTTGCACAACGATAGAGCTTGAAATACTGAAGGCACTTGAGGTAATGATACCCAATTTTGAGGGCAACAATATTTCACGAGTTATTCAACGTTAAAATTACGGTCGTGTCCGTATCTTCTCGAAATGTTGGTACATTTCTCGTAAGAAATTGCGTTGGGTATTTTTGAACATGGCTCCCTGTGTCTCCCTCCTGGTATCCCATTCGTTTGAATTTTCTTTCACCAGTCGCTCGAGAAAAATTCGAGGAATGAGAGGCCGCGCAAAATTAGCTCGATTTCACGGGGTTGGAAAAGAATCCACGCTTTCGAAATGCTATTAATCGCGTTTAATACTGTTACCACTCGTCACGCCACTTACACGCATGTTACAATCTATCGACGTATATGTATAATTAGGCTAGTGCATACGAAGCTGTCTTTTTAAGGGTAATTTAGTTGTCTGAATTAATGTTGAGAAACTTTTTGGCTAGAAAATGCACTTGTTCGAAGAAAATAATATCAGGGTACATTAATCACAATAATTTTCATCCGTTTTCTATAACCTCTTCCCATTTTTCTGACAAAAGATAGATACCCCTTCGATTTCGAACCAATTCATTCGGTAACGAATTTTTGCACGTCTTCAAAAATGCAGAAGTGTGTTCCTTTAAACCCGTATTGCATTGATTTGCCTATTAAAATTTGTTTGTCACTTCTGAACCATGTGAAACCAGTATTCACACGTTTCAATCGATGGAGAAAAATCGCCGTAATTTTATAACAAGCTTTCAGTGACTACCTGCGACTGTTTTTTTCTTATTAAAAGTAATAAATACCGAACAACGTAAAATGCTGAAAAGATAGAAAATGTTTCTAAAGTTGC